TTACTTTTCTCAGATACAATGAGCCCCAATCTTTTTCTTTTTCACATTAGTGAGCTTTTCTTTTTTAAAAAAATGTATTTGGTACAGGGTCTGACTATGCAGTTCAGACTCATAGTGATCCTCCTGTGTTGAGCCTTCCCAGTGCTGTGATTACAGGTGTGCGCCACCACGCCCAGACCTGGTGACTGGCTCAGTGCGCCCAGGGTGGGGTCGGCATGGCATGTGGTAAGGGCATCAAACTCCAGTCCCTGAGCTTGCCTAAATAGGTGCTTAGTCTGCTGAGCTATCTCGCCGGCCATCCTACTTATTTTTTATTAGTTGACATTGGCAGTGATGATGTTGCGTCCATCCAGGAGCTGCACATGGACAGACACACCTTTGCCACACTCCTGTCCCTGCCCCATTCCTTGCCTGCCTTTCCCATGGCCAGGGCCTTCCTGGGCAAAGCTCCTGGTCCATTGTGCGCAGCCCTTTCTCCCTTCCCTGCTCCCTCTCATTAGAAGAAGATCTCCCTACTTTCTACTGTCTTCTACTTTGCTCTTATCTCTCACTCTCTCTTTTATAATTTTTTTCTTTGCTCGTTATATTTTGGGTTGCGAACGTGAAAGAAACCACGTGACATATACTTGAAGCTTTTAGTTATACTGGACATGAAAAAGGGCAAACAAAAGAAAACAAATACCTCTTTAAAAGCAGCCATTTGCTTCTGGACTCGGTTGACAAACCTCCATTGTATTACAAGGCTAAAAAAGAAAAACAGTCATTCTTTTTCCTGTGAACCAAGAAAAAAAATCTTACTTATGCCATTAGAAATAGAAAATAAAGACTAGGTAAGTCCACAGCAAAAGCTGAGTCCACACAGCAAACAACGTTGCCATTCTGGGCTGGGCGGTGAGGGGCACAAGAGCGGAAAACGCTCTTGGGATAAAACAAAAGTGCTTCTTCTGGACTAATAAAGTACTTACTAAATATATTCCTTTTTGTTCTTATTGGTGACAACAATTTCTGAGCCACCATTTTTCAGCTCATGTTGGTGTGTCTAAAATTAAATAAGATACCGTGTTATTTTGGCAAGAGAAAAAAAAAATATATATATATAATATATATTTTTTGAGTTATACCAGAACCCTGGTGTTTTAAATTAAATCCATTCAAAAGCTTAAAAAACTTAGAATACTAAAGTAAATAGAGAATGAGTCAAATGTCAAAGAAAACAAAAATTCTTGCTGAACGACAGCTTTTTGTTATTGAAAAATAAATGTAAAAACAGAGCAGCATACTGAGCGTGTGTGTTAATGTCATTAGACATTAGATTTGCTTCACAAGTTATGCATCGCTTTCACTGAGCAAAATTCACAAACCTGTCCAAAAAGTTCTTCATCTATGATAAACCTGAGGTCCAATTCTGTTGGGTCATTTTCAAGAATCCATCTCAGTGAATTATAATATTCACTATCCTAGAAGGAAAAAATGCATTTTAAAAATCTATACATATAAAGACAGCTGAGCCTGCAAAAAACTATACTTAAGGTCTGAATAATCCAGAGACAGGTGACATCTTACAAGCACATGCACGCACACACGTGCACACATGTATCTATATGCACGCACATGCACATACTACAGAAAGGGATGGACGACAGTAAGTGCAACTGAGACAGCGGCGCCTACACGAAGTGCAGCAGTCTAGCTGGGCATACGCCTGTGAGCTCAGCACAGGCGATTCAGCAGATGAGACCTTGTCTGAAAATGACAACACCTGGGTTGGGATGGGCCTTAGTGAGAAGGCCCTGGGTCCAATGTATAGTGCCACAAAAGTTTAGAAATCTGTCTTTTATGTGGAAACAGTGACTGCAGAAGTTAAATACAGCAGTTTTCAGTTAAACCCAACAGCCACAAACACAGTTCCTGGAACATGGCACCATTCTCACAAGACCTAGGAGGCTGATGTTTTGTAGCTATGAGGAGGTTGCTACACCTGGCCCATGCTAAAGAAAAAATCACAAATTAAACATGAAAGCGCAACTGACCCGCTCAAATAACTGTCTTACAAGTTATGAAACATCCCTGGGCTTGCAGCTATCACATGTAAGGAAGGGGTGACCCGCACACACAGTGCTGAGGAAGGAGTCTTGGGAGCCCGCCCCCCAGCTGCCAGGTGCTATTACTCAGCAGGGGCACGAGAACAAGGCTTTGGGGTTCAGCCTTAGGAGTCTGCTTCTCTGCAGAGTCCTCACCCTGCCTTTACGCCACCATTATAATGCTTGTGACTTATCATAAAAGACCCCAAATTCAAAGATGGAACCAAGAGATCTGGAGCTGCAGCACAGCAGGAAGCACCTGGTGGAGAGCACGGGTCTCCGCAGCTTGCTTTGCAAAGCACGGACAGGATGCAGGCATTTGATAAAGTCGAATCAGATGAGAAGCTAATTGTGGGTGGTGGGTATATAAGAGTTTGTGATAAATTCCTTCAATTTTATCATGTTAGAAATTATTCATATTAAAATGTTGGGAAGATGTTCATTTGCTTTTTGAGTCATTACAATTTATTAATACTTATGTCATTAAAAGCTAATTCTTCAACATGTCTGGTCGCCTGTTGGGCCACATTCTCCAAGCTTTGAGCAAAACATACCACGGACTCCATGTCATGGAGCATTATTGGCTTGTGTAGCATCATCTTGTAAAACGGGCGGATGAAAAAACCTTGCAAGAAATGAAATATACTTAAAATGCTTACCAAGGTAAAGAAAACAATTACAGTTCAAAAAGGAAGTTTCATACTTAACACGAACCATCCAATAGTTTGCCATGATAAACTGCCATCCCCGCCACCCTGCCGATAAACTTGAAGTAAGATAGATGGTCTTCATTACACAACCCGGAGTTCGCATTTATCTGGAGGGTGTAATTATCCCTGTGAAGATAAGCATGTTTAAATAGTCCTCCTCATAGCGCATAGAAAAATTCAGCATGACAAATAATGATACATTTTCTCCCTCTTTTTAGTTATTTACCTCTCCTAGAACCATATGTGGACTTAATGGTTTTAAAAAGCCATACTTTCTGGACTGGACACGGTGCTCCATGGTAGTATTTGCCCAGCAGGTCTACACCTGAGGTGTGATCCCCAGCACTGAAACAAGTTCTGCCAAAAAGTGGGAGTAATCCAGGAGTCCACAAGGACAACTGGAAAAATGAGCAAATGTGAAGGAGTCCTGCCCTGTGTGCAGCACGCATGGGGCCTGAGGAGCCACTCACAGTGATACGTGGGCATGCAGGATGAGCGTGGTGTGGTGTGCTTGCAGGAGATCTCTGAGGGGCCAAGCCAGAGAAAAGCAGTGAGCTGCCAAAGCTCGGAGGGCACAGGGAGGGTTTTAGGAAATGCAACAGTTCCGGAGGAGGTTTGCACTGTTACAGCAGTGGGATTGAATTTAAAAGCCAGTAGACTACAGGTAAAAATAGTTGAGAGGGTGCATTTCACATTATACATATTGTACCACAACCTCTACGCCATCCCCGTAGCCTTAGCCGTTGGCCCAGCTTTTACCCCTCCTTTCTGGCGTGCCGTAAAACACTTTGCCCATGCAGCAAGCAATGATCATGTTCCTCGTAGAACATCAATGTTTTTCTCCTGTGCACAAAGGCATTTAAGGTCTCTGTGCCTGGTGTACTAGTGTGTGCCTTATACCTCCCTCCTGGGGCAGATGCAGCTGGAGGGCCACCAGAGCCCAGCAGTTTGAGACCAGCCTTGGCAACATATCGAGACCCCCATCTCTAATAAATCTGCCAGCTAAGGTACTTACGTAGCAGAATATTCAAACAACCCATAATAAGGGTTAAACATTTCCTTGGAGATCAAGAAGAACCACTCCCGGGCTACCCCTCCATAATCCAACCCTTTCTCGCCGTCGAACTCAATCCAGAGCCGAGCCTTGAGGAAGTCGGCTCTCTTCACACCCATGATCCTCCGATAAGAGTCCTCCAGCACAGTTGTTCGGCGGAGTTTCATTTCAAATTTGCTTGGAATGTCGTTCTGAAAAGCCAGAGAAGAAAGGCTTCCAATAAAACTCAACTCAAGCTGTCTCCTGTGCAGCCCTCCATACCCGCTCTGTCCAGGGTGCAGCGGAGGAGCTAGCTGTGACAGGCACGCAGTCCTGGCGCTCCAGGGCCTGGTCTCCGACTGCTCACAGATGCAGACCTGGCCTCTGCACTGGAAGAAGCAGTGGTGCTCCCAGGCTAGCACTTGCCAGGGCAGGTTCCCAGGGAGGCCGATCGGCAACGAGTGCTGGCTACCACCAGCTTTCCCCTGCACCCTCCTTCACCAGCACTCGCTGGCTGTGTGAGGCACTGTCTCCATGCCAACTCCCTCATTCTTCCCAGCAACACAATGAAGAACCTGCCACATCGCCATCTCCACCTCACAGATGAAGGACATGAGGTGAGAGGAAGTGACGCCCTCTGGGGCTGGGGAGGTAGCTCAGTGTGGCATGAGCACTGCCTGGCACGCGCAATGTCCTGAGTCGGGAGCCAAAACAAAGAAACAAGGGCCTTGGCTCCCCAGTCTGCCTTCAGTAATGAGCTGCAGCACCTCCCAGAGTGCTTGCATTCTGTGCACGGACTCACGTGCAGAACCTTGCCTGGGCCGATTACTGCAGATTCTATAAAAATACCTGAGTGTTTTATTCCTGAGTGCTTAATGCACAAAACGTGCAAGTGGTAACCTTTAGGGGAACACAGACTAAGGACAGCTTGTCACTGCACAGAAAGAATAGGTTAGCATTAGCAAAGAAGTTCAAGGAAACTCTGTATATTTAGGGGAAATAGCCACATAGAAGTATGCTGGTCTAAGTAGTTTTTATCAGCAATATAAACATAACATACATGTTTTCTGCTGCTCTTGTGTGCAAGTAAGTACCAGTAAGACTGGAGAAAAGTGCTTGCCTTGGACTGGTCATCAGGCAGCTGGTGTGGCACAAATGTGGGGCCAGAGCCAGGGCCGAGGAACAGGGACTGACAGATGAGGTTGTATTTTTATCTGTGTGCAGGGCAAAACAAGTATAAACGCCACTCATTTTGAAACTTAAGAGTAAGACCACTGGTGCCAGCACTTCCTGGGCACACGAGACACACAGATGAGGCTCGGAGAGGAAGGCAGGGAAGGACAGGAGAACTTCCACAGCTCCGTGCCACTGGCAGGGGGAGGGTGGAGGAAAGGCAGAGCCCACAGGGAGAGAAGGGGGCAGACCCTTTTGAGGCCGAGAGCAGATATATGTGAATGGGGAAGTGTGTCTGGGCACAGAAGCCTCCAGGTTGACACAACGGGTGGCTCAGTGACAACTCTGATGGAGCCCACAAACAAGAAGACAGACAGGCCAAAGAGGCAGATGGTGTCAGGGAGAGAGGGCACAGAGACTGGCACTGTGAGGTGAGGGGCAGGCTGGACGCGGGTCTGGGTGGGCCCGAGTTCAAGTCCTGTTGGGTAAGGACTGCATATGGCGCACACTTTCTCAGAAGCTTAATTTCTTCCTCTGCACACAGGGAAAATAACACTATCTGCCCTCCTGGGTTGTTTCCAGACTCACTGGCACAGCACCTGCCAGTGCTTATGTGGTGCCTGGTCCATAAGAAGCTCAAGTGTTGCTGGCCTTCACCACCCTAACCAGTGAGATATCAGGGGCAAAGAGGAAGAAAGGCTGAGGCTTTCGAGCACTGTGCATTGGTACTGTTTACCCATCGTGGGTCTGTTCTTTGGCTGTGATGTGGACTTTAAGTTTAAATCCTGCTTGAGGCTTCTCCTAGTCTGCAGAGTTGGGTTCCAGGTCCTCTCCACACAGCTGACCCTTTCTCAGGACAGTTCCAAATCCCAACCTTTCCTTCTGACACTCATCCTCTCAGACACTGCCGCACTCTGGACAATTTCCGTTCGGAGCTTCTTGCCTAACTGTCAACGTGAAACAGCCTCGGCCTGGACTGCATCCTCTGGAGCTGAGCCACAGGTCTGCACCAGCCTCTCCCCTTCACACGCATGGCCCTGGTCACGTTACCTGACCTTTCCACACCTCAGCCTTCTCTCCTACACAGTGTGGTAACAGTCTCTTCCTTACAGCATGCAGAGAACAAATCCATAATATCTGAAGGTTCCTAGAATGCCTGGTATGCAGTAAGACATCAACAAACATTGCTTTCATTAGAATTTCTATAGCCAGGCACCTGTTAACCAAGGTCTTGTCCTTCACCTCTGCTGCCTAGAAGACATTAACAGATATCTAATTTGTTTACAAGATCCCAGTAACAGATATAGGCACTGAAAGTTCTCTTCCACTAGCCTATTCTCAGTAAGAATAAAAATATTTACCAGAAAAATGAATCAACAAAGATTTAAGACCCCAAAGCCCACAAGTCAAAGACAAATTTCAGCAATAAAGGCCAAAGCTATTCTTTTAAAGAGTTAAATAGGTTGGTGTTATTTAAATACTTTTCTAGGGCATAAAATAATTGCACTAACAAACTATCATATTCTTCTTTTTGTTAAGATTCTGGCAGAAATCCTATACTGTAGTAGAAGACCCATACCTTGACTCCTCAGGAAAGTGGTGTTCCAGTTTAAAAAGCTCAGAAAGTATGACCCAATATCCCCATATCGCCACCTTGTGGAAGTGCTAAACTGCAGGGAAAGGGGAGATGAGGAACAAATGGTGACAAAGCATTAAAATTGGCCCACGCCAACAAGGCAGTTGGTGGATGTTGTCCTAGATGCGCCAACTTGGGGTGACTGGAGAGTACGAAGAATGTATGTGACAAACATAGTAGAAAGGAGGAGAGCAGTGGTCCACGCACATGCTGCCCTCCTGCGCTCCACCCCGAGCACTCTGTGTTTGGAGCGCTGAGGGTGAATGTCCACAGGGGGAATCACAAAGTTGCAGCGTCCACACAGCTCTGCAGCAGGTGCAAGACAAGGCGGTTGATCACACCAGACCCCACAAGCCCAGACCCGCACACCCGCGAGGACACCGGGCAATGCACACCTTAACTACGGCTTTCTGTATCGAAGTATCTTGGAAATGAAACTTACAGCTTAAAATAATTACAGTCCCTAATAACCTGTAAGTTATTTGAACAATAACCACCCTTCCTATAGGAGGGGCCATTCACTCATCATTTCAAACGCAAATCCCCTATTTCTTTGAAAAACGCATTTCCAGGACTTACAAGAAACTCCACTAACCTGCTTCTTCAGCTTCCTTCGGAAGAATTCATACTTTCTTTTGTAATCCCTGGAGTAGGGCACTGCCTTTAGTGGAAATTTTTTGGGAGGGAAAAGATTTAGTTCTTAGTTTTGTTTGTTTTTTTTTAAAACACTGGAACAACTTTACAAGTTCCCCTCTGGGTATTTTATGAACATTAAAAACATGAAAGTACAGTACATGGAATTAAACATTTCACTCTAAGGAAAACGAATACAAATTAAAACTTTTAATTTTTCTATTTAAGATAAAATTATACCCAGAAATTCCTATGGATGTAATTTTCATCATGCAACATTACTGAAATGTAACATAGCAGAGCAAGAGATTTAATCCAAGTAGAGAAATATTAGAAACAAAAATTTCCATTTCTAAAAAAGACTTTCAAAGTGATTTCTCCATTTGAAAAATGTACTTTTTTTACTTTATCCATTATTAAAAAAAATACTATGTACTGAGATACTAGACAGCAATAAAAAAGAATACCCCATATGTTTAATTTTACCTATTTTTGTGAATTAAAAACAAAATCTGAACAGAAGTGAAGAAAGCAGCGACACAAAAGAGACCCACGATTTTCCTGTCTTGACTGAGTGGTGACATCCTCTTGTGATATTCACACTTAGTATTAACATGGGCTTGTCCTACAGAGTGGGCACCCACAGGGACCTCCAGAAAGATGCTGAAGACCTGGCTGGAGCGGACAGTGTCACCCATGCCCTCCTCTTCCTGACGCGCTGGCCTCCTCTCTGCCCAGCGGTCTCACTGCCCCACACCTGTCTTAGCTTACAGCCTACACCCTTGTGTTCAACTGGCTCGCGAGTCTCCCAAACTTTTGTGTGGGCTGGGATCAAGACTACAACTGTCTTTTCACATCACTGAGCCTGGCATAGGGAAGGTGGGCACAGAAGAGAGCGACAGGTGTGCCTCCCTCAGCACCCACTGCCCTTGAAGACATGCGAGGACAACCCTGTCCCTCCCTGAGACTTACTGGTCCAGTTATCGCTACATTCTGCAGCCGAGGATCTTCCCACTGTGTTCTTTTTATATCTGAAAGAAAAGGGAACTTTTTAGTTCTTTCTCATGAACAAAATTCAGTACTACAAAAATAATGTCTTGAAAAGTTACATTGCACCTACTATGATTTATGTAGAAGACTCTTCCATCCGTGTGAGTTCTCTCTTCCCATCCTGGCTACAATTAAAAATACATTTCCACTATTTTAGGATAGGGTTTCAGATGGACGTATGGGTAGAAAATTACATTTGGTTATATGGGTAATTTAACTGCACATTCCATTCTTCATAGGAGACACTAGTTAGTAGTTTGATGATCACAGTACCACTGTTAAAGAGCTACTGTACTGCAGTGCACGGAGCGTGAGACAGCTGGGCCGGATGGGGAGCAGTTCGGCAAACTTACAGGCAAAGGCCCCAGGTCACTGGCAGATTCGAGTGGTGCCTTTCCTCTGAGCTGAGCTGGAATTTTCAATCTTGGATCTTCCTTTTGGGTGGAGCAAGTAAGACAACGGACACACATTTTAAAATAGCGAAAGTCAATGTGTTACAGTGTTCTGTAATGTCAATGGGTATTTTAAAAATCCGCTTTCAAAAGCCCATTCATCCTTCATTTCTCTGCCTGTGACATGACAGTTTTTTCTTCTACAGGTCTCGCTTTCAGGCCACATGGATGAACAGGCCTGCTCTCAGGGGCAGATCTGCTGGGGCGCCTCACAGCACCTCACCCATGCGTGGGACTGTGTTGACGCACAGAACTTTCCTCTGCACAAGGACTGGAAGAGGCTGAACTACGTGTGATCTCCACACCTAAACATGCTGTTTGGCTCCTAATGGCTCATGTATTCATTTATCAACACTTCTGAAGGATAGGAAACCCCTAAAAAGGTTATTAAACTTAATTCAAATATTTTCCCACTGGTGGTAAATTACTTATTCTACTGACCTGCGATCTTTTTGGTGGTAAATGAGATCTGGATTCAGAAGTGCTTTGGGACAATACAGCCTCATATAAAGGTAAAGAATTACTACTAAATGTTGTTTTAGACATTTGCAGCCAGCAGGCTAGAAACCAGAAATAGGACATAAATGCGAACGCCTCCAGGGTGATATTAACTAGAGGCAAGAGTAGATTTTTGATAGCAATAAAATTACTAAGAGTAGCACATCTCTCAGTGAATGCTATGAAAGGCCAGTTACATGACAGACACTTAAAGATGGTACTGAGCTCTAGGAAGAGATATTAGGTTTTAAACTGCAGGTATTCCGGTTACCCAGGTGGTGGTCTTGGTGTTGTGGTCAATGTAGAAAGGCCTCCCATTTGGTGCATGTCGGACTTCCCAGCCTTTGGGAAGGCGTCCCTGCTGGATTTCTGGGGGCTGGGTCACAGGCGGGGCTGCGTCACTCTCAGGGGGTTGCAGGCCAGCGGAGCCCTGGCTGGAGGGTGTCAGGCTGGCTTCCCAGGTGGCCTAGCACAGTAAGGAAGTGAGGATGAAAATTCCGCAGTGCTCACAAAGAGCCACACTTAGGAAGAAAGCTTAACCTGAAAACCAAACACACTTATAAGCAGGGCCTAACCATCTGAGGCTCATTTTCAAATACAATGACACTATTGATTTTTCTCAGCACTGTATAGCACTTTTTCTCAGTTGTTCCAAACAGCATTTTGCCAAGCTTGGTTTTGATTTTCCAGATGCTTCTTCGGCAGTGAGATGGGAGTTGAGTCTCACTGTGTTGTGGGTGTGTCATGAGCAATACTTTGTATGGAGAAGCAGGCTCGTAGGCCGGGTAAATAAAATAAATGGCCACTATCCACTACAGAAAAGGACAGTGGGAACAGGTATGGGCTGCATAGTTGTAAGCCTAGTACTCTGGGAGGCTAAAGCAGAAGAATCTCAACCTTAAGCCCTGCTTGGGCAATGTGGTGACTTAGTGAAACTCCATCTCAAAATAAAAACATAAAGAGCAAGGGGTGGCGCTCACGTGAAGGCTCTGCGTTCAGTCCCCAGCAAGGGGTGGGGGCCTGGAATATGAGGCAGCCATAGGCAGACTCTCAGGTTAGAGAAACACACTCATACTGCACATGTGCAGTGTACACAGAGCTTTAGGGTCACGCGATGCAACAGGACTTGCACAGCAGAGGCTGAGGCACAGCATAAGCAGCGGATAGATTGTTTTCCTCTCTGTGTAAGTAGATAAAATCGGTTAGAAAAATACTTGAGAAAGGAGGAATGGTAACTCTCTCTGGAAATCAGACCAATATCTTGGCTGAGAGGGTTAAAATTTAGTCTTATGTGTAAGATTTTTTTTTTTAATAAAACCTTTGGGAATGAATATGGCTACCTATTCATAGTATCTTCTAGATGGTAAAAATATGATGATTTATTACAATACTGTCTGCATTTTCAGTATTAAAAAATTTCTCAAGAGAAACAGTAAAAAAGATAAAATAAGGATTTTATGAAGCAGGAATTACTGCAATAGGCACTCACTGCAGCCAGGGATAAAGTGACATGATCACTAATTGATCTAATAGACACTAATCATCAATACTACCCTTTAACAAAACAATGATCTTAACTACTCAGATTACAGAATCACTCAGTGGCTCACACTGTCCACTCTGGCCTTCTGGCCTCCATCTGGACTTGTACATAACAAGAGGTAAGTCCTGTGTTAAGAGATACAGGTGAGAGCAAACAGCAGCTACGTAAGAAAATATGTAGAGGGAGGGCACTAGGACAGCCCAGGGTCTACCACAAGGTTACAGAATGGCTTCCAAAGGAGAGCAAAAGCTAACTCCTGTAAGAAAACATGCACAGGACCCGCAGGGCACCTGCACCGTGGGCTTCGCCCAGGTCGTACTTCTGGAGTTGTGATCTACGTAATAGGATCTTCCTCTTTCATCTTGCTTTTCTTCCCAACCTGGTGGCAATCCAGATGAAGTAGGCAAAAGCTGAAGTGCAGAAGAACAGAGAATCAAATATTTAAGAGGATCACTCCCCTTCTTTGCTGCTAGCTCTTTGCAATGAATCGTATCTTATTTTCAACTAAAAACATTTAATACAATATAAAATGGGTAAAAGGTACAACTTTAATTTAGTAAAGTGAACCATAATTATGCAAAACAAAGAGAACAGAGTTTCACCTGGGGAAAAAACCAGAGTGCATCATAACAAGAGAGATGAAAACACCAACAAAACATGCCGACACTCGCAGTCACACACTGCTTAACATGGACCGTGCTGTGTAACCCCGCACCTGGCTTCAGGACAGCACTGTTGCAATCAGCCTGTTCTGTGGCCAGTACCCTGCAGCTTACGACACGGCAGCAACTGGCAAGGCCGCCTCCCTGGAGGAATGGCTCTGACAACCCAGGCATCACACTGAGTCCCAAACAGAGCCTCTCACCTGATGCTCTGAAGCTGGGGAAGAGGAGTGTTCACTGCAGCTTGGTGCACTTATTTCCAGGGTTACTTTACATAGGCCAAGGCCTGGCCTTCTCCTTGTCATTGTGAACTAGATCGACTCTCTCCCAGGCATGGCCTGGCTCACCACACCCAACGAGTGGCAGCAGTCTCCCTGGACAGTTACTGGGCCTCAGGTGCAGCTTCAGGGGTCTGTCCATGCATGAACAGGCAGACAACGGGGAGAGAGCTACTCAAGTGCCTCCCCTGAGCTACTGAGACAGAGACAGCATGGGAGAGCAAGGCCAGGCACACAGCCCACAGAACACACACACAACTCCCTGCGAAGCTGCCACCACTACGAGCAGAGGAGCTGGGGAGTGGGGGCAGACAGGGAACAGAGCTTGGAGAACTCTGAAATGGAAGGGTGGTGACGTCTGCTCAGCTATATGGACTCACAGAAACTCACCTATCACACCCTGAAAGCAAGTTGTACTACAAAGCAAACTCGGGATGTGTGTTTATGTAGCACAGCATCTAGTGATCTTAGAGGATCTCAGAACTGTGTTTCTGAGCTGGAATTTCCTTGAAAGCAAAAATTCTACTTTCCAAAATAACAAACACAGGCTGCCATCCAACACTACAATGGGCTGGCAGGAAAAGCAGAGAAGGGCTGTGTACACAGCCGAGAAGGGGGAGGACATGGACCCGTGGGGAGTAGAAGCCCAGGCTGCTGGGATCTGAGGTGGGAAGAGGGCAGGCTGAAGAGACTGGGCCAGGCTTTCAGTGCTCTGGGAGAACAGGTGAGGTGCAGGGAGGGGAGGTGGGGGACTCAGGGCCACCCCGAAGACCAGCCAGGAAACATGGAGGACAGGCAGAGCTCCTATGTGGAGGGTCCCTTACAGTAAATGGCTGACAGACAACTGAGCACTGGGGACATGGTCCAGACATGCTGTTGCGCCTTTTGTGGGTTCCTCTGCCAGCACAGCCAGTGCCCACAGAGTGCCCACACACCCCTCCGTGGCACACCCACGCAGTCCCCAAACAAGACTGCTGCTGGCTCCCCCTCCTGCCTTTCAGGCCCCACCCGGACCCTGGAAGCCCATAGGTATAGGCTGGATGTTCGTGCTCAGGGTTTCCATGAAGCAGTAAAAAGGTGCTGACGGTCAGGGAGGAGGATGAAACTCACCACAGGAAGTGCTGGCTGCTCCTCATAAGTATAATAGGCTTGCAAGCTGCCTCTTCTGCCGGAATGATTCTTATAGAAACAGAACAGCGAGCTTTAGCTTTGTGATGTGGGGAGGAGCTGAGGGTCAGGCAGAAGCCCTGCTCCAGCCAGACTGCACTGGTGCCAGCCCCACCCCCAGCCCAGCACTGGACGTCCTGACTTCCTGAAGGTGGCCTGGCACTCACAGGCAGTGCACGCCTATAATCCCTGCAGTGTGGGAGCCTGAGGCAGGAGAATTTAAAGCGTGAGCCCAGTCTGGGCAATTTAGCAGCTTAGTGAGACCCTGTTTCAAAATAAAATAATATAAAGGGCTGGGGATGTAGCTCAATGCAAAGCCCTAGATTCAATCTCCAGTACCAGAAAAAAGAAAAAAGTAACTGCATAATCTTGTCTGAGCAGACAAAACATGAATACTCCAAGCTACTAAAAACCAACTGCCTCCCTGCCCTGCCAGCACACGGCGTTCCTCCTCGCTAATCTTTGCTTTGGCTTCACTACAGGTAAGATCTTGGATGTGCCATCACAGAACCCGCTGCCCTTGGCAGCACGAGGCCCAGCCTTGTCCTGCTTCCCCCAGCCTCCTCCAAGCTGCCCCCATGCGGCAGAGCCCTGAAGTGCTCCTAGCACTTTTCCCAAGACACTGTGTGCGCGCCTATGGGCTTCCTGCTGAGGGTGTGCACATACTGGCTTTTAGATACCAGTGACCACTGGGACTCCTTACTCCAGCTCATTACCTGGAACATTCAACAAAGGCCCACCCTGGAAGGTCTCCAGGGCCCTGACACGATTCCCATACAGAGAAGGTGAGATCATGTTAGTGGTGAGTGGAATATCTGTGGCACAAAACCCTGGAGCAAACACCGCCACGGGTCTCTTACTGAGCTGGACGCTGCCTGGCTGGCGGCTGGCCTTCCACGAGCAGCGAGCCTGGAGCTCGGCTCTTCGGCAAGATGAGGCTGAACACCAAGGGGCCCTGCTGGGGGTGGTGGCAGGAGGGCCCGCGCGCCGGGCACAGCGGTGGCTTCGTCCTCTCCTACAATCTCCCAGTTCTGAAACGAGCACGGTCAGCATGAACTTTCATCCACCCCACCGCAGGGACCGGGCAACTGCACGGGAGCCCCAATACCTCGGAGGACTCCTGGATGTCACTGCTTTCTGCTTCCTCGGATATCTGTCGCCTGGTGGTAAAGGCTCGCTGTGCTTGCAGCTGAATGTCAGCACTGTCAGCGTCCGTGAGGTCGTCCCTGTTTGGAGAGTACACAAAGCTACAACTCATTCTCAAGACAGAATGGCAGGCAAGAATTCTGTGATCACTAACAAAATACAATAGATCAGAATTGGTTTTGGCCAAAGCTTATTGCTACTTGCATGCGTGAAACTGTGGGCATACTGGCACCTTCAGAGCACCTTAGGGAACTGAAGTGTTGTGAAATTATGTAACATGCCTGATATTTTAGTTCATCATGGTGCCCAGGGTAATGTCTGACACATATAGATGCTCATAAATATTTGCTGAACGAACATCAGAGATTTCATAAATAATTTCATTATCTTATTATTTCACAGTGTTATTACAAGAGTAAAATCTAAAGTAGCTCTAAAGCCACACACACACACACACACACACACACACACACACACCCCCTCATGAACCTGGTAACACAGTTGGGAACACTGGTGTTAACAAGGTGCAGAGTTTCCTATATGTGAGTAGGAAAGGTGGAATACAGGCAGGGTAAGGAGCAAGTCTGCCTGGGGCCTGCACAGCGCCTGGGCCTGTAAGTGGACATGGGCCTGCTGTGGGGAAGGTGACAGCAGAGGGCGTCTGGATTTAGGAAAGGTGCAAACAGCTACTTCTATGTTGCATTACTCAGTTATCTGCATTTAATATAACCAGACTATCAGATCAAGGATTTTGTTCAAATGTCTAATGATAAAAGTATCGATTTCTTTAAAATCAGATAAGTCCAGGACAGTCATAAACCAGTTCTTTTTTTATTTTTATTTTGAGATGAGGTATAGCTATTTAGCAATATGTAATTATTATGTTTAAAACATGACCCATGACAATTGTATAAACTGTATTTCGAGCACTATGTGACTTCTGATACAAATTTACATGGTTTAAGAATCAAACCAGAGTACACAGCATACTTATCACCTATAGTTATCATTTCTTCATAGTGAGAACATTCAGATCTTCTAGCTTTTTCTAAATGCTCAATATGATGTTATTAATGACAGCACCATACTTACTCTTTCTACTGAACTGTCCCTTTGCTGGCCTTTCCCCACCCCAGACTCGAGAGGTTGGTCCTTACTACTACTAGTTGGTTAAAACACAAGCTTGACCGATATTTCAGATTGTTGTTTCTGCTTAAATATTTGTTTTTTGCTACCTGAAATGATATTGGCCACAACAAAATAAATAGGCTGAAACAGCAGAAGCTCAACTTGAACTTGAGTGTGTTATTATATAATTTTGCAGAATTTTAGCATCTTTGGTTTTGCAATCTGTCACTTTACAGATATCAATGCCTCTCTTTTCCATGAAAGACTCAGATCCCTGATTTACTTTGGAAGGATTTAGGAACAGGAAATACCTTTGAAAATCCTTGAGCTATACCAATACAAAATATTAGAACCAAAAATCAGGAGGTTAACAGACAAATTCAAAAAAATTGTAAGAATGCATCCAACAGTCAGAGATTAAAGAAAGCAGCATGAAAGGAGAAATGGGAGGGGCTGGAAAGTAAAGATAAAGAGCTGGGGCATGATGTGCAGTCCGACGGTAACAACATCGCTGAGGAGACAGGAGCTAGGACACGTCAGAAGCCACTCCACATGACCTGCGTGCCGTGCGAGGCGTGTGTTCAGAAAGCAAACTGCAAAACGGGTTCTGAACGTAGTGTTTTGGTTACTAGGGGCTTTCTATTTTGCAATTATTTTATATTTCAAAATATTTATGTTACTATATTTTAATAAAAAACCTACAAAATTCTAAGATGTCTGTTTTTTTTGAGATAGGGTCTTCCTTTGTAGTTCAGGCTGGACTTGAACTTACTTTGTAGCCTAGGCTGGCATTGAGCTCACAGTTTCCTCGTGCCTCAGCCTCCTGGGAGCTGCAGTTACAGTACTGCACTACCACACCTGGCTTCTAAAATCTTTTAAGTCAGTTTCAAAAGAAAAAAATTGTATGCTTTAATGGTGCATGCCTGTAATCCCAGAATTTGGGATGCTGGGGTAGGAGGACTACTGTGAGTTCAAGGGATAGCCTGACTTGCATAAGATCTTGTGTAAAAAAAAAAAAAGTATATAAATGTATAAAATAAACTACATAATAATTAAAATTCAATCAATTAAAAAGGTGGTATCTGTGATGAAAACAATTCTGAATATTATGAAATTATGTTAAAAAATATAGACAAATAGCATTTTTTTTAACCTTGGTCTTCTGCAGGACATGGTGGCATGGGCCTGTCATCCCAGCATTCTGGGAGGCAGGGGCAGGAGATGACAAGTTCAAGTCCTCAAGTTAACAACTTAGGGAGACACTGTGCCGAAATGAAAAAAATAAAAAAGGGTTGGGGATGTAGCTCAATGGGAAAGCCCTGGGTTAAATTCCCAGAACTATACTCACGTGCACAAATATCCTGGTCTTACCATTTAATGCATCCCTATACCACTACAGATCTGTCTGAGGTGTCACCTTAACATGAAATCAGTAGTCAGCAAGTGTTCAGACTACAAACATGAGGCCACAGCACTTACTGGGGGTTGGCCTTTTCCACTGTGTCCTCTGAGACCTGTGACTCACATAGTAGGTCCACAGCACATACTGGGGGGTTGGCCTTCTCCACTGTTTCCTCCGAGACCCGTGGCTCACATAGTAGGTCCACATAGTAGGGCCACAGCACTTACTGGGGGGTTGGCCTTTTCCACTGTGTCCTCCAAGACCCGTGGCTCACATAGTAGGTCCACTTAGTAGGGCCACAGCACATACTGGGGGGTTGGCCTTCTCCACTGTTTCCTCCGAGACCCGTGGCTCACATAGTAGGCCCACATACTAGGGCCACAGCACTTACTGAGGGTTGGCCTTTTCCACTGTGTCCTGAGACCCGTGGCTCACATAGTAGGTCCACTTAGTAGGGCCACAGCACTTACTGGGGGGTTGGCCTTTTCCACTGTGTCCTCCGAGACCCGTGGTTCACATAGTAGGTCCTCCCAAGGAGATCCTGCCTCTCCTCCCACCCTGGAGGGAGGGGCGATGGCTCCTGTTGCTGCTGCAGATGGGAAGCAGCATCCGGTTGGTCCAAAACCACCCAGCCAGGCTGAAACACAGGATGGAGACAACCAAGAGCTAGGTCAGTCGCCTGCTGGGAGAGTCCCGCAGAGCCTCAGCACCACACACCTGAGTGTACATGGCAGAGCAGCGCGGCTTGACTCGAAAGTCCACATATGAATATTTTCTGACAATGAACTTTTCTTTACAAAATCATAACCATTTGGATTTTGTTTGAAAATGTTTTGAAATTTTTCCAAAAGGTTTAAAACCATCTAACAGGGCCAGCCGAACAGCTCAGCGGGTTAAAAGAGCGCGGGGCAGGGGTTTAATTCCCAGCCTGCCCTGCCGGCCCCGCCCCGGGGCTCGCTGAGACTGCAATCAGGGCTGGGTGTGGCGGTGCGCGCCTGTAATCCCAGTGCTTGAGAGGCTGAAAAACAGGAAGGACACTGTAAGTCGGATCTATGTAGTGAGACCCACATTAAAAAAA